TATATATATATATATATATATATATATATATATATATATATATATATATATATATGCTGGTTCACAAATGAATATGGCGGTTAGTGGCGGTGGTGGTGGTGGTGGTGGTGGTGGTGATGACAGTGGGTGGCAGAGGTGTTGATGACGATGACGGTGACGGTGGTGGAGGCGATGGTGGTGAGTGGTAGCATGACAGAGGTGGTGGTATAGGTAGTGGTGGTGGTTGTGGCAAATGAGGGATGAGTTGTGGATTCATATATGAATATATTTACATTTATATTCGAATATTATCTATTCTTAGTCGTCCCGATGCGATGGAATATTTTGTGGCAAAAATAATTTTTTAGTTGAGAATGATTATCTCGTTCTCAACTTATTTTTTTTTATGAATTAATTTTTTGAGTAGAATACACTTCAACATTATTTCATTCTAAGTTTTCTTACATTTTTGTTGAACACAGTAAACATAAATTATCTTAATTATTACTATCACGCAATTTCAAATTTTCATGTTTTTTTTTCTTTCTTTTGTTATTTTTTAACGGTACCTTAAAAAACTCTAATATACTCATAAATTAATGTCTAAATACAAACATTAAAGTATACATACAAACAAAACCTCGTGAATTGAATGGCCCAATTTTAAGCCATTTGATTTTAATTTTGGTTAATTAATACATTTGTACTTACACTAAGTATTTAGATTACAGCGTTAAAATTATGCAAATGTGTTATGTGTATCATTTATATATTCAAGCATAAACATTTGAATTAAAAGACTTAATATATATCATTTTCCTTAAACATTGCTTATTCTTTTACAAACATAAATAATCAATCATACGTACAAACCATACCACCAAAGCCTAATCTTATGAAGGAGATTAATCGTTTTGTTTCATGAAACTACTATAAATATAGGCATTCAAGCTTAAAGAAAACTAGAATCGATGGCTATATTAATTAGTAAGTTTAATTTAATCCCATAAATTTAAAAGAGATAAAAGATGGGTAGATACATAGAATGTATGTATAGATGACCAACAAATGAACCAAAAATTTCAAAGGTTGCTTTTAAAGACAACTTGCCATCCAGATCCAGTGCATGGTTTCAAACAGACTGTACGACGGTGTCCGGTGGGAATTTGGACGGAGCACAAGCCACGATAAGAAGTACAGACATGATCAACACTGGGACGAAGAGCAGCAACGGCGGAGGCGGCGGTAGTGGTGGCAATACCAACGGAAGAAAAAGCAACGTCACCGTGAGCAACACCATCACTGCCAATGCTTTCAAACGAAAAGTCCACCCTATTATTGCCGGAAGTGTTTTCTTCGTGTATGTGTTTCTTCCCATTGATAACTTGGAAGCAAACCTTTCTTCTGCTGATTCATCGAAAAGGCTTTTCTGGTCGAATGATGTACTCAACACCATCATTTTCTTTGCTGTTTCAGCTGATCTGTTTGTGCATGTAATATCTGTATATGATCGGTAAACTTAATAAATTTGTATAAATAAAGTATCAAAATGCATAGATTTGCCTTTGTGGGTGTTCGTCAAATTTTGTGGGTTATATATTTGTGTGTGTGAAGGTATATATGTAGAGAGAGAGAGAGAGTTTGACCAAGAATTATTCCAAAAGGTCAATAAATATTTATTATTTTTTCTCTTCAGGATGATTATATTACATTTATGGATTACTTTACCAAACCAAGGGTTTTTAGCCGCGGTATCTTATGTTGTCTTCCCTTTCTTGAGGTTGAGGGTTCAAGTCCCGTACTGGACATAAATGGAATTAAGGTGTAGTTTAGGAGTAAAATGAATTTAACGTGTAGTTTAGGAGCAAGTTAGATTTGACGTTTTAGAAAAAAATTACTTTACCATCATTTCCATAATATATATATAAAGTTGATGATAACGTACAACAACATTATTTAACATCCCATTTTTTATATCATGAATCAACATATACAACATCATAGTCGGAATCGGAGGTTACGAAATATCAAGTCATTGCAAGAGCTAAATGTACAAAAGACTACTAAGGCTTAAAATATTTTTTCATGGTGTTACTTCAATACAAATTTCCGGTCATCTAGAATTCCTTTCAAAAATATAAATACAGTGGCGTAACCAGATTTTTGTTTTAGGGTAGGCCAAATAATATACAAAATATGAACGAGTGACAAAATTCTTCAACCCTAATTCCTTTTATTTAACAAAAATGTATATTATACATATAATATATATGTAAACTTAATTTTTAGTGGTTGGGCCAAGACCCACTCTTGCCCTATATTGGCTACGCCCCTGTATAAATATGTGGAATGCAAATTATATGCATGATTCTCAAACATAATGAAATGTGAACTAATCTACAACGGTTTTATCCTTTAAATTGGACAGTAATGTACTTCTTAATCAAATACTTCGCCCCTGGATCCTTCCAGTGTTTCATAGACGTGTTCCAACAATTAACTACATAACTACGTAGCTAAGGGAGATATAATCTTAGTAGTGTCTCAAAGGTGTCTAGACAATAACATAATATGTGGTTATGCGAATTCATACACAATACTTCACAACCCAAGCATACTATTTTTCAACCACATACATTCACACATAAGTGACATGCATTATGTATAAAGAAATAAATATGATTTAATGAAATTTCATAGCCATTTACTAATGATAATTCAAAACATATTGCATTTGATAAAAACATAAGTAACATTTCATACATATAGTTTGACAAATGGCATATATTGGGAAAATAACTCCAAGTACTCACTGTAGAAGTTGTTAATGCATAAGAAGTGAACCTCTAGCAATCCAAACCAAAGCAAATCCAAAGTCACTCAAGTCCGAGATGTGAAGAGCTCCAAAGTTCCTTTTATATTCGAGATGAAGAGATTCCAAAGTTTGAATTTGTACAAGCATTTAATGCTTTTTATCTTTAGTTGATGTAACAGTTCTTAGGACAATTTCAACAAATCTTTTAAGTGTCAGATTTGTCAAACCCTTAGCATTAACTAGTCCTTTAAATGTATCTCGGTTTGTACTATGTCTCTACTTTGCTATTTAAGGAGTAGATGTTTTCATGAATATGTTGTTGGGTTTTAGTTCAAAAATAGTTTCATAAACTAGAAAAATATGGCAAACGGAAGACTTATGATTTTCGAAATAACATAAACATTTTATACCCACCATGGATCTTCTTGCAAGTTATAGAAAAATTTAAACACCAACCAAAGAAGAGGTGAAGAAATAATAACATTTGTAGTTCTTTGGGTCTTATTGGGAGGCTTGGAAGGTGATGAAGAATGTAGAACCTTTGAAACACCAACAATGACTCGACTTGATGTAGATGCTACTCCATAAAATCTTAAACCCTTTAAGCTTTAAGTACATAACCAATATAAACTTAAAGAGGGCATGAAGATGTAAGTAACTTCAAGAAAAGATGAAGAAAAGAGAGAAGGTAACCTCCTCTAAGGAGGTTACGGTTTTGGGAAGCAAGAATGAAGCCCCCAATTCAAGAATGGAAGCCTCATATTTATATTGTCTTAAAGTGAAGTCTTTAACCATTAGGTCATTCCACTTTAGACAAGCATGTCCCTAAAGCTTACATGTCCCCCATGCTTCTTATTACTTTTGATTAAATAAATATGAAAGCTATACTCTTGTCTTTTAACTCTTATTTTATAAAAATAATAAAAGGAAGAAGACAAAAAAGCTTTATATTTTATAAACCACGTTTATAAAATATAAACTTTAACTTTTTGGTAAAAGACAAAACAAGTTATCTAGTCTAAAATGTTATGCATGATTTATTAATTCATACCATATGAATTATATATAATGTTACTTGCTAATGAAAATTATTATTTCCATGAAATAAATAATTTCCAATTTAATTATAAGAGTTTAGTGAATATTTATTTAAATCAATTTCTAATAAATAATCAATTATATCAAGTTGTTGTTAGTGTGACCCATTAGTATCAAATGTTAATTAGCAATATCACTTTAATATGACTCTTGAGCATACTAGACCTTTCAATCTCCCACTTGTGCGAGACTCATATTAGACTGATATAAACAGTAGTGAACGTCTAGTAACATTTCACTGTCCCTAACAACATACGACTTGTTCCATTTTATCAATGCTTAATTCCCAAAAAGTTTAAAGCTACAATTGGTATATAATGTATGTTTATCAGTTATCCCTTTGCTACAGACATCATGTTAAACATGAGATACAGATTGCGATCAATCTCATTAGTTGTTCAACTTTTGGTAAGGCACCTTGGATGTCTAACTCTCAACACATAAGAGGAACAAATCTCATCTTGACTACATAAGCCTCTTGCATAGTTCACACCATACCTGAAAATGGCTTTTATAACTGCCCAGTTAAGGAACAACATTTGACCATATCAAAGCATAGTACTCCCTACACTTAAGTCCCACTATGTATCTCAAGTGTTAAGGATACAAAGATAGTACCTTTCAATCAAGTATCATTCATGATAGCGATCCATGAGATGATCTTGATGTCGGTCAGTTCAATACTAGTTCTCTGACAAGTACCTATGAAACTTGGTTACAACCACTTGCCTACTTTCATATAGTGAGAGTCAACCAATCCAATTCATATTAATCTTACTTTATAATTGCTCTCACAATTATAAGTGACTATGAACTTTTAGAATAATAACATTATTCATGGATTAAACATGTTAATATAGAACACAACAAGTATTAACGTGATGACTATATCCCAATATATCATAACATTATCTAATAGTTGTTGTTATAATGTTCCAATATCCAAATACTAAATCCAAATCAAAAACTCATTTCTAGAATAATAAAGTCTTATAGTTGAAGTGTAACCATTCATACTTAGCTTAAAAGAATGACTTTATCAATGGATCTGATAAAATTTAATTTGTGTGAATTATGTGAATACTATCATCTCCATACTTAACTTTACTCTAAGTATAGTTAAATATCTTGGAGAATATGATTGGTGTTATTTCGTGACATAGAGTCTCTTAGCCTGATTAAGTATACTATAAAAGTCACAAAGATTTCTATGTGATCCTTGAATGACAGAAATCAACATAGTTTTTTTTAATGATCTCATTCATCCAATCATATTTGTAGTGTATTCTTATTTTGTAGTAGATTGTGTCATTATGTTTTTCTTGGACCTCATTCCAACAAGACTTACCCTTCATTCCACAATGAAGTCAAAATCCAATTCTAATTCATAATTATTTATATCTGTTTAGAAATTAACATCTTGTGTAGCGCTTTCCATAAACATCCTTTCTAAACTGATTGTCTCATATACATTCTCTTAGTTCTTCTAAATTACTCTTAGAATGCTCACTTAGTCATCTAGTGACTTAACCATATATTCAATTAGTATCCTATGACATGCTTACAACATGATCAAATACCATGTCTTATGCATAATATGGCGTAAGTGATGAATTAATTTGCAAAGCAAATAGAATATAAATCATTTCATCTAGTTCAAGCCTATGAGCTATGTACTTCTGAGGCTAGCTCAAATTGGTGGCATATGACAATGCCAAGATTTCTCGAAAAGAATCCTGTGTCTTGATCCCTTTCAAGATATTGTCAATATATGTATAAGGATATGAAACTTTGAACATTCTTTTTATCTATCCCTTATAGATTTTACATTCCGAGAATGTATCTTCTCATTCCTAAGTCTTTCATTTTAGAAACACTTTCCGAGTCAAGGTGAAAACGACCTTGCTTAGTCAGAATGTGATTTCAAATGATTAAGTATGTCTCGTTCATACAAGATTATGAATTTCACTGTGCTCCCACTAGTTCTTAGTAAACACACATGTTCTATTCATTTTGATGTAAAAACAAACCTTGTAGTTTTACATTAAAATGATGATTGCAATATTGAGATGTTTGCTTTATATCCACAAGTGGATCTCAAGCACTACACATTTTTTTTAGGATAACATGCATTAAGAAAACCTTCAGGCTACTATATATTGATATCTTCTAGTAGATGTCTATTAAGAAAAGATGTCTTTCTTGAAATCTATTTACTATACCTCATATTAAGAATATGAATTTATAGTAAATAATATCCTTGTTGATCTGATCATAACAACTTGTGAAAAAGGTTTGATCACAGTCAATGTCATGATTATGATAAGGAACATAGTCAATGATATGAGCATGAGAAAATCCTTTTACAACAAGTATTGCTTTAAATGTGTATGGTTATCCATGTAATTTATTATTTCTAGAAGAATTATTAACTCATTCTAGCATTGTTATAGGGATAAATTTGTAATCAAGCCCATACTTGATTCGCATACATGGATTACATCTCATGTTCATGACTCTAAGTCATTTATCAGATTCGAGATCTG